AGCCCCCTGGGGAGTCAGCCCCACCATTTGTACAATTTTTAATCACCATCACCTAGGGATGCTTCCAGTCAAATATGGTTGATATCCACTTCTTAGTTTCAGAGAAGAAGTCGCTTAAAGCAATATGGGCAAATTGACCCCTTTTGGCCCCGCCCCTCAGCCCCCTGGGGGGTCAGCCCCACCATTTGTACAATTTTGAATCCCCACCACATAGGGATGCTTCCAGTCAAATTTAGTTTAATTCCAACCAGTGGTTAAGAAGAAGTCGTTTAAAGAAATTGTTGACGTACGGACGGACGCCACGGTATGGCATAAGCTCACCTTGGTCCTTCGGACCAGGTGAGCTAACAAGATTCAACAGGTATGTGATAAAAACACTTATTCATTTTGAAACATTCAATAACTCAAATACCAAGTAAGAAACATAATTTTCCCATTTAGACATATAATTAAATCTTGGAGTTTAAATTTCTTCGTGTTTCATGAGATTGTCACAAGATATTTTCCAATGGGTTTTAAATCAAGGTCTTTTTATCAGCCTGGGTCATTTATGTGGTTTTGTGCAGCACATTACCCGTGACAACAAAGAAGAAATGTGAGTCGCCTTGGATACCGACAGTTCCTGGTCCAACCATATCTGCTAAAACATTGACGATGGAGAATGCCCCGCTGATTATTCCATATCCGAGCCCAGAAACTACAAAGTAAAAGGGTCATGGACTTCATTAAAAACATATAGTTTGGTTAAAAATTATCGTAAAAGTTGAAACTATCAAGATCTACTTGTTAAACAGTACATCAGTTATTTATCACCTAAATTACTCATAACTATGGCAAAGGTTTTATCCTACCAGACTTGCTCATCCTCTTGTTTACAAAACAACGACAAATCTGTTCATTGAATTAATTTAATAAAAGATATTTTACTGAATACTTGAATGTATGATGTAAAACCCTTCTACAATGGAAAAGCACAAATGTCACAATTGGGTATACCTGTCAGACAGTCTCACACATCGTTTTTTTTAAAATAAATTTCCCAACTGAAAAGCCTGCATGCTATAGTAACTTTGACCAAGTGAGTACCATTATTCATTTGGTGATATTGACAGTTTGAAAAATAAACAAGAATGCATACAATTACATTGACAATGCTCAAGCAATCAAGAATCATTTAGTTGTTTTAATTGTTTCATTATGGGAGATAATTCTAAAACGCCGGAAGGGAGATATCCCACACACAAACTACACTAGTACTAAAGTAAAATGTGTTCTTCGGAGAAATAACACAAACCACAGATATTTCACTTTCTCATACATTGTACATCTGATTTGTTTCACTATGAAATTGAAGCAGGTATGGAAATGCTGTCAGATTTTTTATTAGCAACTGTGCCACTAACCCAGTTACACTCAATATCCTACCACCCCCACTTCACACACAATCAGTCTCTTTGTTCCGTAAATCCTTAATCTACACTTTACTCAGTGATACTTACTGTAGGCCATGATGTGCTTGTTGGTGAAATCTTTTGGCTCCAAGTGCATATCTTGTTCTGTTTGAGTCACCATCTTTAAGCCTTCATCAGCTTTTCTGCAAAATTGAAATTACCATAAAATAGATTATAGTAATGAAATTAAATTCCTGCATTATTACAACAAACAAGATTTCAAAACTATGTATGCTGACGAAACCTCCCCTGCGATCTTTTATCATTACATGACAATGCTTCTATAATCCTTCTAAATTTAGATTACCTTTGTATGATTAGTGTGTCACAAACAATGCTACATTACCTTAATAGCTTATAGAACAACAGTCTGAAGAGCTCCTGGAAAATGACAGAAAACACAAGTCCAAAGGCCAGCTGTTCTCGCAAGGGTACAACTGCAAACCACAATATGGACGAGACCAGCAGCGCTAGCAGCCAGAAAAACCCACTGTAAATATATAGAACAAGAACAGTCAGCTAGCATATCTATGGAACATCAACACATGAATGCAAATATTGAACATAAAGAAATGAATAAAACATAAATAATCTAATGCATATTAAAAAGCTACCTACTTCACATATGCATAGACCGTAAACTACAAAATTTGATAAACATACAAAACAAATAATATCCTTGCTTTGTTGATACCGACCAGCACTATACACAAAATCTTCCTAGAGAAGTGAAGTTAAACACGAAGTCTAGGTAAGTGACCTACTTTAGATATATTTGTAGAGAACTCCTCAATATTATCCATTGCTGGACTAATAAAGTATTGGAGTAAGACACAACATACATTGTAATATAATACAATATGAAAATGTTGATGATACCCAATACCACAAACAATATACCTTGCAATGAGAACAATGATCCTGAGAGGGTCGCGGACAACAGTAAACAGGAAGAGTGCGAAGGGAGGTCCAAATGCAATTAAAGTACAGCCGAAGAATTCCATCAGTGTCATGGTGATACAGGAGGTAGATTGTCCTAGAGCACAGTGACAGGAATCTGGATAAAGTCAACCAAAGTGTTAACATAAATATTGTAGTGGGAAACAAAGTATTAACATAAATATTGTAGCTATATATAGTGGGAAACAAGAAAACAAAACTTAATTGGGTCACATCAGATTATTGCACAGTTCTCTGGAAATGTCTTATTTTCAATTAAGCAAATTTGAACGGGCTTTGATTTTTTAAATGATTGTTTGGCCCTTAATTCATATATAAATGGTCTCCTTTAATAAACATGCTATTATACATTTAAAACTGACCTGTTTCTTCAAATAAGAATCACATTCTGTCTTATATATTTGTACATGATCTTGATGTTCCATGTTCAATATTTGTGTGTCGAAGTTCCGATGTTTCAATATTTTCCTGACGATCAGGCAAAGTTTGAAACATCAAAGATTGACTGTTTCAAATTTATTGTAAAAAAAATGTTTTCGAACTTCCTGTGGATTTGAAGTAACTAGAGGTTAAACTCTGATGTAACATAATGTAGTAAAACATGCGACAACTAGTAATCCATTACAAATCTAGAAAATAATTTCTTCAGATTGAGCTTAACTAAAACTTGTTTTCAAATTGTATTCATGGACACATGTTATTGAAAACACCTTTCATCTCGCAAGATTTTACAACCTTTTGGACAAATGGAAAACAAACAATTGGCCGACGAATATATGTCCTGTTTCAATCAGCACCCTTATATGAGTGTCTTGTTGAGCTTATGTATTAAATTTATGTTTTCTGTCCATCTTTACCGGTTAGGAGAAGACTTATAGGCTAAGCCTGTTGTCTCATCCAATTGATCAATTGTTTTTGTCCAATAAAATTTGTTGAAATTTCAAATATGAATTATAACTGCATGAAGTTCGCACCAAATCTTGTACGCATTTTTTTGTATAAGTTTGACAACTTGTGCCCAATCCCTAGGGTTTGCATAATAGATGCAAATAAAAATATGTTTAAATAAACAAAAAAAATTGAGAGAGGTCCTTTTGAGGACGATCTGAAAATGGGTTCTAAAGATGTTTATGATAATGACGTCCACAACAATATACTGGCATAAATATCTTTATTTACTATCTATTAATCGAAACAATACCATTTTTAAGAGCTCGAGGAGCTATAGATATTTCGGACACCCATGTAGGTCTATAGTCCAAATTAATTCTACTCATTCAACTATCATCTTATTGTGTTAATATCAACTGATAAATGTTATCAATTTTATAACAATTCAATATCATTGTCACGGACTAACATGTGACTCATCTACTGTACTGTACAGATTTAGAATTATGTATCGGTTTTGAAAAACCTTTACGGGGATTATTGGCAACTGCTAGGCATCAAATTCATTCCAGCGACTCACGTTGAACTTAAATGTGGGTTGTCCTCAGTCACATATCTCTTTAAAAGTGTATAGTTATGAAAAGCCGTCTTCTTCCTTCTTTGACAAAACTTGTGTTTTCCCTTTTCCGATTTCCTTTGATGTGCTCCAAACTAATTTGATCAATGTGTATGAAAATAATTTTGATCAAAAGATAATAATTAGATATAATTGGTATCTTTATAGATAATATTATGATTAAATATTTCAGAAATACTATGACTTTAACATAATTTTAATACATGAAAATAAACAGAAATAAGTCTGTAGGTTATTACACATTTGTTTGGTCTTAAAAACGCTTGCTTTGAGTACAGTTGTAAAAGCAAATTGGATTTCAGACATTTAAGCTTCCTACTGACATAGACTAACTGTCAAAAGTTACTGGAAGTGGGTGCTTATGCCGATAGAGGGAAGATCTGGAAGAGATACGTCCAAAATGTCCTTTATGTCTGGTTTGTATAGAATCAATAACCGTTCTTACTTATTTGGAACACATTAGGGTGATAAACATGTGAAAACCAGTATAATATAAATCTAAATAGGTTATAATAGCATAGAATGTAGGCCTATAGAATCTTTGTTTATCGGTTTTAGTCAGTCAGGACCCCTACTGATCGCTGTGCTTCTCATATTACGTACAGTGAATATCGTGCCTGTCATAAGGTTTACCTTATATAGACACCGACAGACTCATATCAACGTCATGTACTGTTTTCAGTTATTCTGTTATTTGGAAGTATTGGTGTTAAATTAGCTTCTAGCCACGGAAAATGACTAATTTTTGTTCTGCTATAGGAGCATATACATGTAAGCAGGTAACAGACTAGCAATTACCCGTTTACAGTAGCAATTTTATCACTGAAATGGGGACGTTAGTGATATACCATAACGAGTAAACAACACATAAAAATCTTTTTAATATATTTAAAACAAAAAAGAGCATTTTTATTTTAGCAAAACACAATAAATACTAAAAATGAGGTACAATTGAGCACAAAAATTGTCTGATTTAGTTTTAAGATGAAAAACTTGGATGACATATCCATTGCTTATTGCTTTGTGTAGGGTAGCTATAGTTAGAACAAAGAAAATTTCATGCTCACCTATCACATTTAATAATAATAATAATAATAATAATAATACTGGACGCAGGCATAATGCCTATATATCAAGAACACAAAGTTTAACATCAGTTTATATGTTGATGTCCGGAATATGAATAAGTGAATTGTTATCTATCTCGTGGTTAAAAAAGCTTTCAGGTTGTCCCTAGTGTTTATCCAATCGGGATTTTAGTAGATGTTTAAACATTTATGGTTGCATTCGTTTTCACACAATATGATTTGTTTTCAGGGCGTTTAGTGAAGTCTGGCCTAGAGAAGACATGTCCAGTAGCTTTCAGTTTGTCTATCCTGCACGCTCATTGTGAAGGATGTCATGATCGCTACTGTACTATCTCCCCTGATGACAGCAGCAGCTGTGGGGTCATCGAGTGCAGCCAGTCATGTGGACAGCGACTACATGGTTGTAAAATAGAGGACCACAAGAATGTTTGTCCTCTTGAGAAGGTGATATATATATCTTGTTGTCACATTTCTGTTAAAATCATATATATATATATATATTCCTTAATTTTTACATTTTTGCCATTTGAGATATTTCTTTCATCATGTGACAAATCAAAAGTTAGGATTGAAATTGACATTATTGAGACAAGTCTCAAGTTAACATGCTAATTATCCTTATTCCTGTTACTTCTGTTGGTAGGCGCCAAGGTCCCATCAAGCTAATATAAAGTCTTTTAATGGCTCCCATAGTCTATCTGCACACCTTGACTTTGATCAATACACATAATATTAACGAATTGTTCTTCTCTGATCTGACAAATTTAAGCGTTTAACAAATATTTTCCACCTTAAAATTTGATTCAACAAACACATATCTGTTTGATGGTTTGAAGTCAATAGCTGTATGTTCAGGGGTTTTCATGTCTGCATAATGTATAATGGAGATCAAATTTGGGTTGTCATTACTGAAGAAAAATTGAGAAGAGCATAAAGGATTACAAATCGTTTGGGCCTGTTTTGGCCCGAAAAATTGATTGAAAATATTAACTGGTTACCATGGCAGCCATAATTGAAAACACAAATTAAATGTTTACATAATAGTACCGAGGAAATATTCAAAATTAGAGAAACAGTCATTTGAAAGTTCTATGGAAGATTTTTAATTTCTATGAATTTTGGGGCCAAAAAATCCAGAACTAATCTATATCTAATGAATACATTAGGAACCCTTACATTCCTAAAAGAAATATTGCAGAAAAAATGGTTTCAAATGAATTCAGTGTCATTTTTTCCATTCTAAAGAATATGACAATTCAATAGGTACTCAGGAAAATCTTTATTTGCTAATTGTAGTGTGGGCTTGCACTCATGCTCCAAATGTAAGGAAAAATGTACAAATATTTATTAATATTCTTATACATTTATTCTTTCAATACCAAATAAATTACTGGTAATGTTGCAGGTCCCCTGTTCAAATCACATGTATGGCTGTCCGCTGGAGATGGCAAGAAATAAAATAAATGCCCACATTCGTGTTTGTCCGGCCAGTGTGGTTCGCTGTGTGATTGAGTGGAATCGCTGGCCTATGCATTCTGCAGAAGAAAACATCAAGGCCCCTCTACCCTTGGACAATCCGCATGTGAGATGTGGTCAGCTAGACGTAGCACTGGCCCTTAGGGATCAGAGGATGCTGATGGAGTCCATGAAGGCACCTCAAAGGGTCAGAAAGGTTCTCCAGAACACAATAACCCAGCGATACCCAGGGGTCCCATTTGAGAATCGTAGTGGGTCGGTAGACTCCGACTGTCCGTCAGAAACAGCCTCTGTGACAGTGTCGGATGATGAGTTAGACACTCCATGGGAAAGTACAAGGTTTCCTCCTGGCCTAAAGATGAGTGTTTGTTCTAAACTGTATCGTGCAACAAAACATGCATCAGACAATCTAGTGGTGGCCTCAAATTCATTGTCCAATTACAAGGCAGGACAGAAGCAAGAGCACCTTTCAGAGATCAGAGAGGAACATGATGTCAAACCAGATAATGATATTGAAGCGAAAATCAAAGCAAAACTGGAATCATTGTCTATAGCATGTTCTAAATCGGATGACAAGCCATCAGCGACAGATTATCAGGTAAAGGATGACATCCCCAGTAGTGATACATACGACAACTCCTGCTCAAAAGGGAGTGATTTTAAATGTAATACAGGGTCTCTGGACGCGGTCAATAGTGGTCAGTCTGATGGTGATGATCAGCTGGGGGTCACAGATGTCCAGATAGAGGAAGTGTACAAGAAAGATGTCAAACTTCACGAAATGTTAGGTGTGAGTCTCAATATTGAATGCATATCAAAGTATATCGCCAAGCACCCAAAGATGTACACCTTTCTCTGTGCTCAGGACTTCCGACGGGAAGAATACATATGGCACTTCAAAAATGTCCACAATGACATCCAGTGTGGATTGAATGGTGTAGTGGAACAACGGTGTCCACTAGCCTACCTCGGTTGTACATATTCTTACCAGAGGCTTGTCCCAGCAGAGCCGAGGGGTCATATTGTGCATAGCTCTCTGCTCGAGAGCTTCGGTCTGCTCACTTGTGTGGATGAGGACAACACGGGGGAAGACAATGATGTCTCTAAAACAGTGTCAAGCCCTGACTGTCTCCAAACTCAAGCAGACTCAAACAATCAAGTGATGGATATGTGTGCTGAAATTCCCAGGCAGCGACTACGGGAAGCCACACCAGAAATTGTTACATCTCACAAATTTGATTCAAGAATAAAAGTGTATCCACGATTCCGTAATCCTTCAGGGGGATATGACTGTGTGACTGCAGCACAGAAAGTCAATGAGGAGTTATCTCTCTTGCTTTTTTTACCCATGGAAGTGTTGATACACCTGGTGGCCTTTCTGGACAGTTTCAGCCTGTGTAACCTGTCTCTCACCTGTAAACTCCTCCGCAACGTCACTTGTTCCCTCCTTGTCAATAAGGGCATGGTGACCCCTGTCTGGGAAAAGGTCAAGAATGGATCAAAGTTCAATTGGAAGCTTTCATCCAAGGTATAAGTTTAATTTATTTTTTCTGTTTATCTTGGGGCAGCCCTATGTGGAAATATGTTGTTGTTTTTTTGTCCTGTCATTAATTTTCATTAAATTAGTACATATATATACATAATACATATCTGGAATAAGGCTCTCATAGAAGTTGTAAGGGCAAACAATTTTTACTATTTTAGCTAACCTGGTCGGAAGGGATCTACCATAGGGATTAAGGGATTTCATCCCAATTTGGTCTGAAGCATCCTTGGGCAAAAGGGACTCAATTTTGTATAAACAGTGAGTGTGGCCTTCCTGGTGGCAGAGGGGCGGGGCTCAATAGGGGAAACAGCAAATTCTTCAAAATCCTTCTTCTGTAGGAATGACAGGATTTGTCAAAATTTGGTATGAAGCACCCTTGGGTAAAGGCCCCTAATCCCTTGGACAATCCGCATGTGAGATGTAGTCAGCTTTTGTATTATATAAACAGTGGGTCTGACCTCCCTAGGGGCAGAGACGTGGGGACTAATAAGGGATATAGAGGAATAGCTTTAATATCCTTTTACTTCCATTGAGATGAAGATATTTTGACAAAATTCTGTAGGAGTGATAGGATTTTGTCCAAATAAGGTATGAATCGAAGCAACCTTGGGTAAAGGGGAAACAATTTTGTGTGTAAACAGTGGGTCTGCCCCCCCCCCCCCCCCCCCCCTCCGGGGCAGAGAGTTGGGGCCCAATAAGGGCTATGGAGGAATAGATTTAATATATATCCTTTTGTAGGAATGACAGGATTTGTCCATATTTGGTCTTAAGCATCCTTGGACGAAGGGGACTTAATTTTGTATCAACAGTGGGTCTGACCACCCTGGGGTCAATGGGGCGGGGCCCAATAGGGAAAACATAAATAGCAAATTCTTTAAAATTTTCCTTTTCCTGTAGGAATGACAGGATTTTGTCCAATTGCATATAAATGTAACCCCTGACTAACCGTGTAATACATGTACACTACCAGCAATATCTGGCTTTTTCAACTTCAATTTTGCTAACATTTCCAGGTGAGTGATACAGGCCCTCTGGGCCTCTTGTTTAGGATATATTACACACCACATTTTGCAGATTATGAAAAGCTCCTCCACATTCTCTTGTTTTTCAGAAATGGTGTTTCAGTACAGGGTTCACTCCTGTACGAAAGTGGCGTTACAACAACACAAGTCCACTGTCCGAACATCTGAAGACGTGTGCGTACAATCGCCCGGAGGATAAGATCATTCCCAAGGACATATGGACATACACCTCCACTACCGGGCATGACAGTACTAGTGCTGACGCCCCCATTATAAGTACCCTTCAACAGCTGAAGCATATGCGTACAGAGGTCAACCGTTACGACAATTTCTTGGCTGACGTACACATCTCCAAGGCATGACCATGTGAAATCTGCGAGTGGGATAGTAACTATGATCAACGGTGCTGTATTTCTCTAGTGGACTGCTATTGTATGTAAAAAATCGAAAAATGGCCTGTATCATAAATTAGAAAGTACTAAATATAAGCTGCGTGGAATTTGGAAATATTTGAACCAAGAATGAAGACATACTAAAATATCTAATAAAAGCCTTTTACTGAAATTAATATGATCCCATAGAATTTTGGAATGTTTCAAACGATAAGTCATATATATAAAAGGGCATGGAATTTTTAAAATCAGCTAGCTTTTATTAGAACAAGATTATTCATTCTTAGAACTGATTTATTCTTATTTGGCATGGTTTTCCTTTAGATCTGACTGATATAAAAGCTCCATACAAATAATCACAGAACATATTTTATTATACACTATTAATGTTCTGATATGTGACCATTAGGTTGTAGAGAATGTCTTATTTATTCAAGATGTCTGTGATGATTTTAGCACACAAGAATGAAAATTGAGTGTGCTATATGGCATAAGGATTTATAATTAAGAGGAGAAAATGGTGTTCTAGAGTTATTTTTAAGTATAAAGACAAAGTAGTGTCTGAGGAGGATGTTACAGAGAATATACATTTTTTGGATAACTCACAAAATGATTCATCAATTCTATCAAAAAATGACAATTGGGCATGAGGGAAAAATGTTCTTAAACACATAAAAGTTTTTAACAAACTGAAAAAGCTCTGACCTTCTGGACTTTTAACACTTGACCCATTTTTACAAACCTGAGAAAAAACTGCTAATAATAGAAAAAAAACATAATATCAGTTGAAATTCATTCATTTGAAGTTGTAAGTTTGAAACATTATTTTAATCAAATTAAAACATAAACATGTTTCTCTCATTTCCCTGTGTGTAAGATAGAGCTGTCCAGGGTAAAAATTTAAAGGGGTGTAGGAAATTTCTATCTTACACCCCATTTCACGTGACGTGACGTCACAATGGCTCGACAATGACCTGACATCACGATTTTGGAACTTTTCATGCCACAATGCAGAAAAGGAGACGTGATAAAATGAAAAACCTTTTACAATATATTTACCATACACGTTTTTGTCTAAAAAGCTCCGGGGTAAAATTGATATTTTCAAAATGGTGGCCAGTCCAAACGCATTTTCATGGTTTATGAGCTTCTTCTGGTGGTTGGAATGAGAGAAAAATAACTCTTTCATGCCCAAGGGGGTAGGATAGAGAAATTCCACCCTCTGGATTTTCAAATTTGTCGAAACCCTCGGCACAGCCTCAGGTTTTGCTTAATTTGAAAACCCCTCGGGTGGAATTTCCCCTATCCTACATCCCTGAGCATGAAAGAGTCTTATAATCTTTCAAAAAATATTTTTACTGTTTTCAAAGGTTAAAACAAAAAAGTGAAAAAAAAACATATAATTGATAGAATATTTTATGAGTTTTCCAAATCAAATCTGTGTTTTGATTGAATTATCTGATTCAGACAGTATTTTTGATAAATTCTAACACATATCATGAATTGTTGATAATCGAATGTTTATACAGAATTTTTCAATTCTGCTATGCGTGATATATTCATGTACATGTCAATTAATACTTTCACTGCCGAACCAAATATTTACCTTTTTATTTTTGCTAGTCATGATCAGATAGTGGATTCTATAAATATATCAAGTAGATAACATTACTTTTACTGAGTGGCTTTCACATGGTGCCAGATATCAGAAGTGATTTCTCACACGGTGTAAAGTTGTCAATCAGAACTGGACGTTCTATTCACTGCATGCAGAGACACAGATTTTCTGTTTGGATACAGGTGAAGCAATTTAAGAATAAGTGGTTGTTTTGTTATATGTCCACTTCCTATACTAAGATGTTTATTTCTGCTTCACACGGAAAAGTATTGATATTCTGCCATACTCGTAAAGTATATATGGTGTTCAATGGGAAACCATTTCTAAATTTCACAAGATGTTCTATTCTATTAGCCAGAACTAGCTCCTTCTTGGCTGAATAAAATTGAAACAAGAGTGTCACTGACAAGGTTCATTTAGCAGGAATGTAATGTATATTTACAAGATTCATCTAGTCACTGCTTTGTAAAAAATGGTGTTCTTACCTAGAAAGTTTCGCGGACATTCTGCCAGCTTGGGCACTAGTAGAATGTTAGCGAAACTGTCTGGGTAAGAACATCCCGTCACCAGTGACCAAGCTGTCAGTAAGTCCGCGAAACTGTCTGGGTAAGAACATCCCGTCACCAGTGACCAAGCTGGCAGTATGTCTGCGAAACTGTCTGGGTAAGAACATTGTTATTTACATAGCAGTGACTAGATGAATTTTGCAAATATAAGAAACAAGAATGTGTTCGAACATCAGGTTCTAATTTTTTAGCGCCTTTTTACACTATGGTAATTATAACATGACAGCATTACAACCGCTGTCATCAATATATTGTCTACCACTTTTCTTCTGTTCAAGTTTTTTGCACACAAATAGAATATATGTACTGTATATCAGAAACCTTCAAATCTATATCTGCCAAGTGTTGATCATTTAAAACCCATCACATGAACTTACTACAGTGTATGTGTAATGTGTTGTTTAAAATCATTCCCATTAACTTACAACAGAGTATTTTAATGTGTTGTTTAAAACCCTTCCCATTAACTTACTACAGAGTATGTTTAATGTGTTGTTTAAAATCCTTCCCATTTAACTTACTACAGAGTGTTTAATGTGCTGTTTAAAATCCTTCTCATTAACTTACTACAGTTTATGGTTAATGTGTTGTTTAAAATCCTTCCCATTAACTTACTACAGAGTATTTTTAATGTGTTGTTTAAAATCCTTTCCATGAACTTACTACAGAGTATTTTTAATGTGTTGTTTAAAATCCTTCACATTAACTTACTACAGAGTATGTTTAATGTGTTGTTTAAAAATCCTTCACATTAACTTACTACAGTGTATGTTTAATGTGTTGTTTAAAATCCTTCACATTAACTTGCTACAGCTTATGTTTAATGTGTTGTTTAAAATCCTTTCCATTTAACTTACTACAGAGTATGTTTAATGTGTTGTTTAGAATCATTCCCATTAACTTACTACAGAGTTTGTTTAATGTGTTGTTTAAAATCCTTCACATTAACTTACTACAGAGTATGTTTAATATGTTGTTTAAAATCCTTCCCATTAACTTACTACAGAGTATGGTTAATGTGTTGTTTAAAATCCTTCACATTTACTTACTACAGAGTATGTTTAATGTGTTGTTTAAAATCCTTCACATTAACTTACTACAGAGTATGTTTAATGTGTTGTTTAAAATCCTTCACATTAACTTACTACAGTGTATGTTTAATGTGTTGTTTAAAATCCTTCACATGAACTTACTACAGTGTATGTTTAATGTGTTGTTTAAAATCCTTCCCATTAACTTACTACAGAGTATGTTTAATGTGTTGTTTAAAATCCTTCCCATTAACTTACTACAGAGTATGTTTAATGTGTTGTTTAAAATCCTTCCCATTAACTTACTACAGTGTATGTTTAATGTGCTGTTTAAAATCCTTCCCATTAACTTACTACAGAGTATGTTTAATGTGCTGTTTAAAATCCTTCCTATTAACTTACTACAGTGTATGTTTAATGTGCTGTTTAAAATCATTCCCATTTACTTACTACAGAGTATGTTTAATGTGCTGTTTAAAATCATTCCCATTAACTTACTACAGTGTATGTTTAATGTTTTGTTTCGATCTAATGATTAATTCAGCCTCATTACGGAGGACAAACAAGCGAAAGTTTAACTGCTGCGAAAATTTCCCAGTATATAGTATAATGAAGAATTAGTCTTGCCACTCATGTATTAGATGACTTCTTCAATAGATAACACCAGTTTATTGAACGAATTGATAAATTTAATTTGCATTAAAGCCATCATGTAAATAGCACAGAGTTAAAAAGAAGTTTGTAAAAAAAAAAATCTTCTTTTTTCTTCAGATAATTGATCTACAGGTAAAACAATTTCCTGACCAATAATCTGCCAATTCAGTAATATTGATGAAGAAATTAAAAAAACTAAATCTGTATGAAAGAAATGAATTTTGTTATTAATGCCAAGATGTATGAAATCTACATTTTGCTAATAACATGTCTTAACATTTTCAGAAGTTTTCTCCTATCGTAACACAATGAGACCAGCTATATAATGACAACACCTAAACTTTTGTTTTACATCAAGCCGTGATAAAAGATGCTCTCATGATCAGATGGTTTTACGAGCTCAATTACAATGATGTGCATGGCTAGTTTTAAGTCTGTAATGTTTACATGTGATATTTAGGGTTTAGTTTAAACATATTTATTTACCGAAAGCAATGGCAAGAGGATTTAGCACAAGATATATTAACATTATCAATGCCATCTTCTCCGATTTACCATTCAAATTTACAAACATGCACGCTCTGTAGTCAATAATTTGGGAGATTTTTAAAAATTAATGATAGGCATTCTAACAAGGAGATCAATAAATGCAGACAGTGCGATTCACAAGACAGACTTTAATTAAGCCATATTTTAAGGAACTACTGTTATACTCTAAATATGTGTTAATGGTATTTAGCATGTGCTTAGTATGCGTTCATCATAACCGCAAAAAGGTGAGATTTAGAATTTATTACTAGAGAGATGTATTATTTTTCCTTAAATGATTTACGTATACGACATTCTCCAGATTATTTCAAGAGCCTAGCGTGGAAGGCATGAAAGATGAATCTGTACTTAAAATTCGTTAAAGCTGGGTATAATAAAATCATGACTATTTCTAAGGGGATATCTAGCAGTTTGGTTTAACTGTGTTTAGTAGAATCACATGTAGGAAACGTTAAGTTAAACCATTCCTAATTTTGTACAATAGCTGCAGTTTCCTTCCTTTTCTCCTTTCCGAAACTCTTTAACATAGAGTTAAAGCATACGAGGGGCGACAATTGTAAACCGGTCCCATACTCACAACAGTGTATAAAGCAGGTAAAATGATAGAATTATACATATTCAACGAAGTTTCTCAGTTTAGCATATACTTAGCGTTACTTGGAACATCAATTTTCATTACAGACATCAATAATTCTCATCTGTGATACCCAACCATCAGTGTTGGAAAAAGCACCCCACCATAAATATTTCACCGCTGAATAGTAAATCAAAATCTCCGTTCAATTCTCTTCCATTAAAGATGGATAAAACGTTTTTCTATGTTAGGAATGAAATCAATTAATCATTATCTTCGTCCAATTGAGGACGATATGAAGAGGATATGCGTAAAAGATGTATCAGTGCCAAAACGTCTAGAGACTGAACGCATCACGTAATGTACATGTCTATCTTTAATGATCTGAAATAGAACCTTGGGGGAACTCTGGCTTCTATAATACTAGTTTGAGAAAATGAGCAGTTTGTAAAGTAGTTGATTAGATCACTAGTTTATGAATGTAACATTTTTGGGTATAAATCCAGACGGACCTGCAATCGTTTATGCAGTCCTTGCAAGGCTTTGTCAAGGCTCGCCTGAAAGCAGCATGCTATTACTAGGTCCGACATTATTTAATAAACATACAACTGTAGTCCGACAGGTTGAACCGTTTCAACGAAAATGGCCCGTGATTACTAGTAGCTATAGCCTAATCAGTGTTACGTTGCACATTTTTATAGGGGAAACACAGTGATATTATATGATATTATGATTATTATCTGATATATTTAGAAATTCAACATTCAGTCTGGGCAAGGTCATATCTGAATTTATCACGTACAGTCTCCAATGGTGTATCCAAGGGATGTGGACTTTGGTGCCGTAAATGCATCCTCGATACTCCAGGGGTTACGTTCGCTCACTTACTCTCTGCATCCCTGGAATATGTCATAGCAAAATCGAAGGCACGAAGATAGCTCTTCTCGTGTCATCAACAAGGTGGCGCACACTGAACCTTCAATTTTGCTACGACATGATGCCGTAAATGATGTTATTTTGTTAATAAAACCAGAAGGAGAAAGTGTTCAAGTCTGCTTCCTGCGCCGTTATCCGGATAAAAGAGAACATTGTTTAATCAAGCGATTCATCGATTTTAGGCGAGATAAAATTGGCATAATTTTACTGTTGCATTGTTAGATATGGTGACGTATATAAATGATTACCGTTATATTATCTGTATTGGTGTGTTTGTTGTAGATATTGCATTGAATGGTTTCTGCCGGCCAGATTCCGACTGTTATGATATGTATGTAATAAACTTATGCAAATGAGACTGATGACAAAGCTTAAGTTTATGTATGATTATAATACATTTGAAATACTAAGAACATTTGTTCTAATATTATTAGACTTTTTACTGTAGTATACAGTTTTACACTGATCTTTTCAAATTCACACAGTAATTTAAAAATACATCACCGTGAAAACGTTGTTTCCAAAATGTTAGCATAAATTTCCAATGTAGATTTGAGTTAACCGGTTCATCAGCAAAAACTACAATTTAAATCAATAAATAGATAATGAAAGTACTGCTTTTTGTGTGTTAATTATTGCAAATACATGGCACATCTATAGCATGTGAAAAGATTTATTAACGCATTTAATCTCCGTACTGATAATTATATTGGCTACATATAACCAAAGTAGAACAGTAAAAAAGAACATTTTTATATGGGTTCATTTGATTTGCAAAAATACAGGGCCGAACGGGTACGAACTAAAATATTGATTAGGAACATAATTCTTGAAACATATTTACACTAAACAGTTACGCTTAGTAAAGTTAATGTTCTACATTTACATTAACTTTATATTTTTGCCAAAAGCAAGTTTATCCTTTATTTCTTTAAATAATATAATCATTCATAACGCACATGGTACGTCTTATATGGTATATGAAATATCTTGAATCAAATATCAGATATAAACTACAGGTATAGGATCTACATTGCTCTTATGACAGTCTTTCAAAAAGTGGTAGCCTTTTAGTAAACAGTTTTTTATGGGGTTGGTAATAGATCATATCATTTTCATAAAATTTGAAATAAATCATATGTTTGTGCGATATGTTAAGCAGTTTATGTATACCACCTTTTTGAGACAATTACAAAACATGCATGTGTTATACCTCAGAAGGTATATTTTCAGACGCGATTGATTTCAACTTTCCCCCCAGACATTCACGTGTTCTATCGTCACTGAGGCAACTAAGGGAAACTTTTCCCCAGACATTCACGTGTTCTATCGTCACTGAGGCAACCAAGGGAAACTTTCCCCCAGACATTCACGTGTTCTATCGTCACTGAGGCAACTAAGGGAAACTTTTGCCCGCAAGTTGATGTGTACCACCATCACAGAGGCATCTGAGTGCACATCCTCGATACTCGAGGGGTTACGCTCTCTGCAACCCTGGAATATGTCATGGCAAAATTGAACGCAAACGGTAAGATATTTGATTGGTCTCGGGTAAGATAAACTGACCAATTGCTAGACGTATACATGTCCTTTGAATACTATAGAGAAACGACAACCGACTTCAAAGCCAGTCATTCTTTCGATGTACAATGTACGTCAAATAATCTAACTAGTCTTCTCGTCTCATCCACAAGATGGCGCACACTGAGCCTTCGATTTTGTTTAAGGATACAAGTTTATTGTTTTCCTCCGATACATTACAATGTACAACATGAGGTATCAGAGTATAATAATACACATGTAATGACAAAATGGATGACAAGTACACAAAACAGTAACCATGATACATTATCAATAGATGGTGCTTGTAGTATATGTTTACAACAGTTTGTTAATTTTGTTCCAACAAAAGGCAAATTCCATTTAATACTGTCTCGTTACAAAATGACAAAAGACCACTCATTTTAATTTGAGAGGGATTTTTTCTATAATACAAAGGAATATACTTTTCTCTAAGCTCTACAGTTATTAAATTTGTACATTTGAATAAATAATGAAATTCGTGACACATTCCAAGGTTGTAGAGAGCGTAACCCCTGGAGTATCGTTGATGACCAAGAAGATGACACGTACTATCTTTACTGAGTCTACTTTTTGCCCAGAAGTCGACGTGCTATCTTCAAGACAAATAAATGTGCTCAGAAGGAGGTGTGTACTTTCTCCATTGAGACAAATGGGTTTGCGTTTTGCTTATACATGTAGTGAATACCGAGTCAAATGAGTGCGCGTTACGCTCATAAGGAGATGTGTGCTACCACGACTTATGAGTATGTGGTATGCTTAGAAGTTGAACAAAGTTATTTTTGTAACTGTTGATGTAGCGACTGGCTTGAGTTACAATGGCAAGTTGTTGACCTTGATCCACGCTGATAGCACACGGCGGCACGGTTTTGTCAATACTCTGTAGTACAAAACGCTCTGTCTTATCCGTGCTGTAGACCGAGACGAGCCCGGACGCCAGACCCGCAATCAGTAGATCTGAGAGAATCGCCAAAGCGGGTGATTCATCCCGGAACTGTAGTTTAGTTGAGTGAAGAATCTTGCCGCTTTCGTCCGAGCAGCAGACGAAATTGCCGCCAATGAACTCATTCCTGACAAAGTACAAGAGCCCTGACGAGGGAGCGACCTTCAGGTAACCCCGAATTGGCTCGGTCATACTGTCAGAAATACGTATTTTCTTCAGAAAAATCTTCATGTGGTCGTACACTTTGATACATCTCACCGATTTGAACGACGACTCACACAGGACGAAGAGTCGGCTGTCTTGGTAGTCGATACCAACACAATACTGATCGGTATCTATGGAATGCGAGGACCAGGATAGAGTATACGGCTCAACGAAACGTACTCGCCTCTCTTTGGTTACGGTGACTGCCATTTCACCTGTGTCCATCAGGGCAACGTCAAACGGGGCGCCACCAACATCCACCTCTAATAGAAGAGAAAGTTCGCCAGAGAAAAGTTTTAGTTTGTTATTATTTCGATCAGCTAGGAGCATACTTCCGTTTTTCAAAATGACTGCTCCTGTAAACCAGCAATGATGTTTGTCCGTTGCCGTGCGCCCGTTGAAGATCGCTTTGTATTTCAGTCTGGGTTGACCAAAAACGGCCACCTGGCCGGCAGTTACTTTAGCACTTTCCTTCGTCATTGTTTCCAATGCTTTCTGCTGGTCTTTAGGCTTCTGGATAACTTCTATGTATCCCGGCTGTATAGTGAAACGTTCAAAAGTCATTTCCGTCCCTGGACTGGTATCGATGTTGAACGAAATTGTCACGGGCAATTGATCGCCCGTGTTACCTATACAGCTCTCCAACTCATTCTTGACATTTTTCAGTGCCAATTCGTCAAGCAGTCCGGTCGTGTTTTGGGCAATATCCATACATCGCCGATGCTCCGACCGTCGCTGTTCTAACTTCGAAACTTCGGCGTCATGTTTCTGACGAAGACTTCGAATTTGTTCCCTTTCTAGAATTTCAATCTTATCCCGTATGCTCTTGAAATATGTATAAATATCGACTCCGATTTCTGGTAATTCTTTTTTCAATCGTTCCTCATTGTCGCCTGCAGCTCGTTCTAGTTCGGTTAGCACGGTCTCTTGATCCCTAATCGCGCGCAAAATATCGTCTGCCTTATCCATGTTTTATAAAAACTTCCAGATTAATTCTTCACATCAGTCTCAAACGTATACTCGGTGTTCACTGAAAGAGCAAATATTATCTACATTAGTGGTAGATACAGGATTATTAGAAAGGAGGGGGCTCAATCTAAATTACATATCTTCATTATCAACCGTCGTCCTCTCTGATATGTCGTAATCAAAGAGAAGGTAAGCAGCACTAAAAAATAGCTAAAAAACCAGCTACCTTGTTGACGTGAAGGAAAAGCGCCTAGCTTTACAGCTTCAATGGTAATCCCTCCTCCTCCTCCAGCCAGACCCACGTAGCACAGTTTTATTCCCATATCGCTTATACAATGTACAAATATCAGAAACCGTTGTTCGTCCGTCAAACTTTTCCTTGAAAACCTTAATCCTTGTTAAATGGCTGATCTTATCATCCAAATATTATCTAAAACAACAAATGACCAGGGGACTTAATGATATATAAACGAAGACCCACCTCCTTACCCCTGGAGGCAGATAGATGGCCCGATATCATAAACAAAATACTTTTTAAAGACTATCAATATGTAAAGATGACCATGCATTATCACAGAACTCCACTGAACGCTTTGCACGGACGTTGGGTCTCCCACTCCCCGTAATTAAAAACTACATTTTTATCTTCTTTGGCGAAGGATGTTTTGCATATTTTTACTGCGAACCATCATTGGGCCAATGAGATATATAAACAAAGGGTGTGTCTCGTTCGTTGGGAGAGAGGGGCGAACTCCGTTTTAGAAATGGTAAACATTTCGTTTTCCCTTCTAAGTCCTTATAGTTTTTGGTGCAACTCCTGATCATCTGATAACAAATAATGTCCGTTGCGGCTTCATGTTAATCAAAATATATAGCCGCTTTCGACTTGAAATAATTGGCTGAAACCTTTCCTCTCCATTTCCTTCAGGTCGATTTTTCCAAAACTTTTTTATGATTTGTTTTTCGAAACTATTGACAAACAAAGATGGCTACTTGTTATCGGACTGGCTGCGACTGCTTTCTAAATTTCGACCACAACGCTCGGACTATGGTAGCCAAACTTAATCTGAATAATGCTTTCCTGATCCTGAATGTGTGCTGATATTTATTAGGTTGATTTGAAATACAAAATTAATATTTAACATGTTGGGCTTATTCTTAACCACAATAGGTCGATTTTATCCAAACGTCGTACAAACGTCCCTGTATTTACCGAGTGTTGTCATTTGAATTCTTCATAACCACCCGTGTCTCGGTCTGAATTGAACGGAAGCAGGTCAAAGTCTTGTTTAGTTTAGTTAAAATACCAAAGAAACGGGAGGGGCGATACAGGCCAGACCCCTTCTCCCTAGGCCTTCCACTATCCCACCACCACCACCACTATACACAACTGAGCCTTTGCTAATTTGTGCAATATACTTTAAACTTTCTTGTCAAGAGCTTAGAAATCTCAACCACTTACATGTCCTGAAAGTTATATTTTATGTGTTTTATATCCCGATACAGTCTTTTTCTGAGGACATCTCGACATACTTAGTACAAGAACCAGGGACAATAATAAGATACGATAAAACCTCGATATAAAGCTCGAATGTATTCCCTACTTCGCCTACTGCTAACGTGCTACTTCGCCTACTGCTAACGTATTCGCTACTTCGCCTACTGCTAACGTATTTGAAGGGTTATCCTATCAATTACTTCATAAGCCCATTCCCTATATATCTTCCTCTTCATACTCTCCCTCCATCCCCCCCCCCCCCCCCCCCCCCCCTTCACTCTCGCCTAAACTTACTCTTCCCTGCACCCTCACCAAACCTCCTTTTCTCCCCACAACCCTCGTCCTCCATCCAGCTTTCGTCTCCCTCTCCCTCGTCCCATCGCCTCTTTCGATCACCCTCGTCCAAACTCCCTGACCTTTTGCCCATCCTCCCTTGTCCCGTCGTCAACTCCCATCCAACCTCGTACAATTCCCTCTTCTTATTCGACACACCCTTGTCCTCTACTTCTTCTCCCTTACACCCTCGCCCTCTACTTCTTCTCCCTTCAATCCCGCCCTCTACTTCTTCTCCCTTCCACCCTCGTCCTCTACTTCTTCTCCCTTACACCCTCGCCCATTACTTCTTCTCCCTTCAACCCCGCCCTCTACTTCTTCTCCTTTCCACTCTCGTCCTCTACTTCTCCCTTCCGCCCTCGCCCTCTACTTCTTCTCCCTTACACCCTCGTTCTCTACTTCTCCCTTCCACCCTCGTCCTCTACTTCTTCTCCCTTACTCCCTCGTCCTCTACTTCTTCTCCCTTAACCCTCGTCCTCTACTTCTTCTCCCTTACACCCTCGTTCTCTACTTCTTCTCCATTCCACCCTCGTCCTCTACTTCTTTCCATTCCACCCTCGTCCTTTACTTCTTCTCCCTTCCACCCTCGTCCTCTACTTCTTTCCATTCTACCCTCGTCCTCTTCTTCTCTATTTCCCTCCAATCCAATATGTATCCATACATTAGGGTATACCACTTCGTTGAGAAAGAATTTTAAGTCAACAACAATATGACTGACCGTATCGGTGATTTTTTTAAGTGGAAAATTGGTTTCTTATTACGGATCAAACTTGTGTATCACCAAAACAAATATAGACTGTAAGAGGATTTCAGTTACATGTAAATTAAAGATAATTTGGTATTAAAAAATATATAAACACATACCCCGATACCTTAGCTGCTACTCCAGCGTTGTCACAGATGAAACAGAAAATAACCCAGTGACGTATCAGATAATGCATTGTTTCCGTTTGTTTATTTTATTGATAATGATAGATAAGTGATTCGCGCTATCGCGAAGTCACTACCTTATTAGCTGTCAATATATATATAGGGATAAAATATCCCAAAATAACAAACGTAATAACCCTTATCAAATTCTCCCTTCCTGCTTTATTACGCACACAGGTAGTACAATAGGTCGGTGGAATAGGTCGAACCTGGGGAAAAAAATACTATGTTATCAAATTCTTCTGATTTCAACTCATCAATGTCTCTAGTATGACAGAAAAAAAGTCCTGAAAGATTCCACGTGGGGGAAAAAATTGGGGCCATTTTTAAATTTGGCCTATTTTTCACCTTTTTTCGCCAAAAATGAAGAACGAGAATATATCGGTTAGATGAAAGAAAATTCAGAATTTGGATATTTTCTTTGATATTAGAGTGCTGCAAATATGTTAATTTATTACACATAACTCTATATCCTACTTTGACAAAATTATTTGACTCTGGTATTGGCATCATGTTTCAAAATCAAAGATGGCTGACAATATCCGGATAAAACAAACAAAAAACATGGTACGAGCCCACTTCGGTCTGGTACAGGTATATTATGACAATATAATATATTGTAATAATATAATATAATATATTATAATAATAAACTAACACTAATATTGCATATATAACGTGTTATCTGATAGTGTGAAAAAAATAGTTGGGTACATACAGAGGATACAGTTATTAGCAGCAAGCATGCAATCCCTATGAACAGGATGGTTAAATAATACTTTCTCCAGAGTAGCTCCTAAACCCTGTATGCACTTTTCAATACGCATGGCAATACATCATTCAATTTAACTGAAGATGTATATTGTGTATTAAAAGCACATATAAATCTGTTGTAATTATTATGTGATATTGCAGATACAAATGTAGTATGCAGTATAACCATAATCTGTTTACAATCTGGATTTATGGAAAAAGTGGAATTTCATTGAGAAGCAGCGGTTTTGCAGCAAGAATTGTCCAGGTTTTTTGTTGTTGTTATTAATGATTAATGATTATATGTACTACTTTTATTGACAATATTTGTAACAATGTTATAAAACGTCACGATAAGCCCATTTTTGTAAAAGTATGTTTTGCTGTATCAGGACTATGTACACAGGATTGGAACGGTTTCGCTAAAAACAAATGTGTCTTATATAACTCTTTCGTCTTTGTCATATACTGATGCCTTCATTTCTGTCTTTTCAGGACTTGATATACAATAATCAGCCCATGACGTAAAAAATGACGTCGCCGTTTGTAACGTCACGTTTGATTGGCTGATACAGCAGCGCAATAATTTCTAAGAGAAAAGAGTCCATCAATAAAAGTGGATTTCCACAGGGATTGTGTATAGTAGATTTAATTATAAGGATTAACTTGAATATATTTTTCATGTTATGGAGCTATAACACAAAAATCGGAGCGTACTCTCATCATAAAACGGTTCGCGGTTTATTTAGAGTACATTCCGGGTTTTTTTTGTGTTATATCTTCATAACATGATAACTATATTCAAGTTAATCCTTAAATGATATACCTGTACCAGGCCGAAGTGGGCTCGTACCATTTTTTTGTTTGTTTTATCCGGATATTGTCAGCCATCTTGGATTTTGAAATATGATGCCAATACCAGAGTCAATTAATTTTGTCAAAGTGGGATATAGAGTTATGTGTAATAAATTAACATATTTGCAGCACTCTAATATCAAAGAAAATATCAAAAATCTGAATTTTTCTTTCATCTAACCGATATATTCTCGTTCTTCATTTTTGGCGAAAAAAGGTGAAAAAT